TAAAAGCTCTTTCCTCTTTCCACATTGAGTTAAACTTTATTTATTTTGCAATACTGATCAGTTGTTAAAAATCCCACCAAAGCACTTATCAGGTACAAATTTTAGCAGGACAAACTTGGTGTCAATATAATAAGTGAACACCTGAACATAAAAAATGTTTTGATTTTGTTGACTTGATGAGCTTTTGATAGTCAAAAAAAATCATATTGAAGGAAATAAAAAAATTAAAAAATCGTACTAAAAAAATAATAGTTTTAGCTTCACAAGTGAAGGATCAGAGCTTCTGGTTCCTGAAGGCCACCATCACCTCGCAGAACAAGTGAGCAAGGAAGTCTTTCAATCTAAAATCTGACTATTTGATATTTCTACTCACCATACCTGTCATATACAGTAGTATGAATCTAAAGGTGAATATAGAATACAAGGTAAAGTGTGACATTGCATATAGAAAGACAGAGATTTTGCATTTGAATATGTAACTTATTGATATTGAAGAAAGTTTATAATGAGTAGTTTCTCTGATCAAACTTATTGTTTCATCAGAACGTGAATTTAGTGAGTTGATGATTTTACCCGCCCTTGATGTGAATGGGACATAAAAAAGCTGGGTCATATTTATCATAGTATTTCAGTCAGGACCACTTTTTATCGCTTTGGTCAGTAGAATAATCATTTGCATGCTAAAGTTTTATCTGGAGCAAAATAGCCAAAATCAGTGACCATAGCTATGATAGCAGTAAAGTCAGACAGCATGAAGGGAGGAGCATTGAAGACAAGTTGCTAAGCAGTTGCAGATGAAGAATCGAGAAGGTGGATTCGAGTAGTTTGAGTAGAACTTACATTTTGACACTAGGGTCAGAGTCAAATTACAACAAATGTTATCGTAAGATGCCCGACAAAAAGAGCTGGTCTAGACTGTACTCATTGTGATATATATAGAAAGGATGGTGTGGGCTGAGCTTGACTTTGGTGCCCTGCCTGAACTAACTCTACGCTCGGTTTAGTTTTCCACCATTACTTGTGTGGCTTTGAATGGTCACATCTCTGACAATCGCAAGAGTCTTAATCAGCCAGTGGGATATAGGAGTATACTGTACAGACTCTTTCAGTGTCTGCCTTATGTTCTATATTTAATGCCGGTGTCTTTGTGCCTCCTTTGGTATTTTGAAGACAGTGTGTACTCCTTGAGAAGGAGTCTAGAGTACTGTAGTGTGGGAAAGAGTTCAGGGACTAAAAGGCTTCAGTATCCTTTGATGTCAAAGAAACATGAAAGACACAGAGCCGCCTATGAACATGAAAACAATCTCCAGCATGTCATCTGGGGAAACACACTGACAACACTGCTTTGGAAGTTAGCGTTGAATACCATAAGACCTCTTTGACATGAACGTCATTAGCAACTTCAACCTTGTTTCAAAACAGTCATTTTTCAGATTGGTGCTGGTACAGGGTCTCGCTGACATTGATACTGCGCTTGTCATACTAGTAAATTTTTGTTTTTTTTTGCAGGAAAATACAAAATAAAATCTGTTCTTATCCTCTCTCTTAAATGACCCTGAAGTGTAGCGACAACTTAACCTACCTGTTGCTAATTTATTAGCATGCTTAGCGCTCAAAACGCCATCCCATCAACAAAACTCTGTTATAATTGGATGATCTGTATGACATCTATGTGAATTTTTTTTTTTACTATCAAACAGAAGTTTGCATTTCTCTTATTGATTTGAGCCAAAGATATGTTGTCACTGTATTTACTGATAAAAACAAAAAAGTGTTGCACTTACAGGATATAGTGCTGAAACCACTGAAAACATGTTCCATCAAAAGGTAAAGTATTTACAGAAGGGAGTGATATCACTACGCTTAACCTTTGTATCATGTAGTCTCATCTTATCTTCTCATGTCCGAAAAGGGTTCTCATTAAGGCTGCAATGAGTAGTCGACAAAATTGATAATGAAAAAAGTTGACGTTGAATTCCATTGTTCAAACATGGCAGTGCTGGCTTCCCATACAGCAGCTTGGAGTACGCACTTAAAAACCTCCAAAGTTTGGGAGCTCTTTAGCCAAGATAAGGCAAAAATGTTAAATTTAAGAAAAAGTTAATAATTATCCAACTAATCGTTTCAATAGTCAGTGACTAGTCGACTACTGAAGTAGTCGTTGGTTGCAGCCATAGTTTTCATACTTTTATACAGCTCTACCTTTAATGTGGACGTAAACGCGAGTGATGGTTGTGTTGTTTTTCCCTTATCTCCCTGTCTTTTTATCACAAACGGACAGATAATAGTGCTGCCAAAGAACAATCCATCACAAGGAAAGAGCTGTCTGTAGGTTCGTCCTGCCATGGGTCAAATCAGTGACGGACCTCAGAGAGTCTGTTTGTGTCCTCAGAAAGAAAGACACCATCACTCATTGTCAGACAGTTACATAGAATACAGATTTTTACTGTTATATTTATTCTTTCGATATTCACACGGTCAGTCAGGAACTGTGATTTGACATGTCATGAATCACGGCTATTTTTCCAATCTCTTGGCTGGACCCCAATAAGTCTGCTTCATATCGCTTCCTCCTGAGTCACTGGGAAAGGTCACGCGCTAATATGTCTTTATTTACTTTGGTGCCCCCGTTGAGTCATCATACCAACCTGGGAACATTTAAGATGTCAGAAAGCCCCACAATATCTCACGGTGCATGCAAAGAGGTGTTATTTTTCTATTTGGCCTGGTTTAACCTTGAGACTGAGCAATTACAGACCTCCGATGACTGACAGCTCCCAAGATCCTCCTAATTATAAACTCTGCATTGCCGAACCTCAAGCTGAGCGGAAGTGTAATCAGTCAAGGTGACAACTCACAGATTAATGGCATTGTTTTGTTTGCAATTTAATGAGGAGACGGTGAAAGACTTTTGGGATATTTCAATCATTCATTTCATTCAGAGCTTTTATCCATTATCTCTTTTTTGACACTAGTGCAGGAGGGAAGTGACTCCTTCTTATGTCTGCTCACAAAGACCCGGCTGTTTCAACATAAGTAAGCAGGCCAAGGAAGATCCGTCCCTGCTTTCTTGTGAGTCAGGCTTAAGATCCGGGGGTACCCCTGGGTTCCCTGCAGCATAAGTGATGTCCCAAAAGAATCAGCAGGGAATTCACTTCTGATAGCTTTGCAGCATCCCTTTTTCTTACAGTCACATGTCTCTGAGTTTCTGAGTGCATAATATTTTGAAACCAACAATCGAATATTCACACCCACTTCATGCTGCAGTTGTTCATAGTGTGGAAGTGAGTGGAGAGCAGCAGTTTGAGGCACTCTCTGAACTATTTCTGCAACGTTTCCTGTGCACAACAGAGTGTAATACTTCTGTCTCTACACATTTAGGCAATACTTTCTACCCAAAACTGCACAGCATCCATCCACATTTAGATTTCTGACAAGTTTGCCAACTGTGTTTTGAAGGCACAGACATATGATGTTGTCTTGCTGATCGGGACTTAAAGTAGACTCCAACAGGGGACTAGCTCTCCCTCAGGCAGCCCATGCTCTGGATTCCATGAATTTGAAGTCTGGGGCTTTTGAAAGAGCAGGACGCTTTGATTTTTTTTTTGGCAGTTGAATTCAAAAAGCAACATCCTATCTCTGAAATCACCTTTCAGGGGGAACAGAAGTATGTCCTATTTACCAAATTTGTCACAGTTTATATGACAGAAGGTGTTTCACTCTGCCTACAATTACATTTGATGCCATTTATCCATTTATTTACTTATTTAGGTGTTCAGGTAGTGGGCTCAGGTTTGATTTAGTCTGCTGCTCTTTAAAGATCCTGGAGGTAGAGCATGTCATTCACTGCTTCTTATAAATATTTCCACTCCAGCTCCTCCTGTCCATATGTCAGCGCCCTTTACTGAGCCAAACACTGAGCCCCTATCTGGAACCAAACCAGAACTGTAGCACTCTGGGTGGATGCGTAGGTGTATGCATGTATATTTTGCTTGTCTCATTAGACATGTTTACATGTGCAAAATTTCTTGATGTGATTAAAAATTTGAGGGATCAGAAAATCTTAATCCACTGTTTATATGGGCACAAAATCAAATAATCCAATAAGGACGTACGTATATATGCACCAAGCTTTACTCAGATTAGAACAGGGTGACCATACATCCTCTTTTACCCGGACATGTCCTCTTTTTGGGGGGGCTGTCCAAGATTGTCCGGCTTTGTCCGGGTCTGGGGTTTTGTATGGAAGTCACAAGTTTTTGTGTCACATGGACTTACTGAGTCAGAAGCGCATAAAAGACATTAGATCTAACCCGAAAAACTCTCAAAATTAACTTCGTGCAACTCTGTGACTCCGCCTCCGCCTAGTCGTGTCCTCTTTTTGGGGATTCAGAATATGGTCACGCTAGATTAGAAGCATTTGGATATGCGCAGAGTTGTCTAATTTTGCTAAAACAACGGCATTAGAAGAGTTGTATTCACGCCTGTGCTGTCAACAATCCAAAAAATGTGGTAGTGGCTCACTTCATCTGATTCAGGATTTTTCCTTCCTGAGCCAGGTTCTGAGAGTGGTTACTTTACTGATCACATACTGATCCTGAGTTACATGACGAAACTGTACCAGCAAGAAAGTTGTGTCAGACACAAACCAATTGCTCTTGGATCCCGCCATGTTTACATCTTGTCACCAACGGTGAAAATGCGTCACATTGACGTAGGGCACACATGCCCAGTCCTGTTAGCGATATATTTTTTGTAGGACAGTTGGAGAAAGTCCTGCCTCCTTTGTCTCTGATTGGCTAGAAAAGCTGGAAATGTCATCACATGCTCAAGCCAAACGCAGGCTGTTGGCTCTGTACATTGAATAAAACATTACAGAACATTATCGCACTTCTGAATCTCCTAACCCTAACCCTCATCCTAATCCCAACCCTAACCCTAACCCTAACCCTTACCCTTAACCTAACCCTAACCTGATAGACGATGACGTTTCACAGTCATAAGGAATAACCAATCGGAGCTCAGCACTTATAGCCAATCAGGGGCGAAGGAGGGCAGGACCTTACCTTACCATCCTCAACTGTCTGTCTACTCTATCTATCAAACTTTCTTTTTACTCTCAGAGTGCTCAAAAGTCACCTCTTACCTACTAAGCAGTGGATGTTGAAACAAATGGATTCACAACATTTGAAAACCACAGTGAGACAGAAAACACAAACCCTTTGTTTGACCTCATCCTGTGGTTTACATGTAAAACACAGCTATTGATAAAAATTGCATGAATCTATTTTGACAAAAATGCTCTTTGGATAAAAGTGCTAATTTTACTCTTTCTACATGTCAACTGTCTATCTACTCTATCAATCAAACTTTCTTTTTACTCTCAGAGTGCTCAAAAGTCACCTCTTACCTACTAAGCAGTGGATGTTGTAAAAAAATGGATTCACAACATTTGAAAACCACAGTGAGACGAAAACACAAACCCTTTGTTTGACCTCATCCTGTGGTTTACAGAGAAAAACACTCATTAAAAAGCATAAATAATGCATCGATTTGAGAAGAAAGAGACATTTCCAGGAAAAAAGTCTTTGATCTCTTTTAATGTTTTTTATTCAAAGGCTGTAAATTTCTTATTTTCTACAGTGTAAAAGGTCACAATTCGAACTCAAGTTGAAAGGAAGTGAAATTTGGAAAAATATGAATAATATAAAAAGAACTGAGATATAGAAGAGCAACAACATCCATACAAAATGTTTCACTAGGAGTAAAGAAAACACAAAAAAAAAAAAAGATTTAAACCACAAGTTTAGAAAAGTTTGTAACTTATGTTTCAGAAAAAAACTCTCAATTGAGAAAATATGTGGAAAACTGCAGGATAAGGAACATAAATATCAACACAAATAACATGAATGTCACTGTTCACGAAACATAAAAATGCAACTACACAATAACATGAAATATATCTTTGAGTAAAATGTCATGAAGAAGCAAGAACAGTTATCTGAAGAATAAAAGAAACATTTATTGTGAACACTCACACAGTGCACAGTCATAAGAAAATAGACAGCAGTCATGTACAATATGAACAAAAGGATATATTCTTATTTATATATATCTTTTCCTTTAAATATACTAGGAGAGTGAAGTAGCTCTTGCACATTTGTGCAGATGTAATCTTTTTTTTCGAGTCCTGATTATTCTCTGTGATGTTGATGTTTTCAAGCGGCGGCAGCAACACGAGTGGCAATTTCATCAGCAATGAGAGGAGTTGCAGATTGATTTAAAGTGCTGCTTTTTGCATGTTCCTGCCTCGAGTCCATATTCAGAAGTGCTTCAGTGGTCATTACAAAAATAGAGATTTGAAGGGGCAACAGAATTAGATCTGGAGCATGTTTGATCCCCTTTGCTGATGGTAAATAAATTCGGACATGTTATTGCTACAAAGGACTGAATGACTTAAAGGAAACAAGGGGCGCCACGTTTGGACTTGACTGCAACGCAAATATGAAATATACTTACCCAATTATGACCAATGCACCAAATGATTTTTGAATTGATTTAAACAATTATGCTCTCTAAAGACGAGTCAATAAAAGAACAAGTTAGAGCTGCAGTCATCAATTTTTGGCTGACACATTTCCGGAAATAAAACAATAAAAAACAGCTAAGATGCGTTTCTGGCTCATAACAGCAGTCCTTTATGTGATCATTACCATATGATCTGTAGACAGGGGGCAAAAGTTAATCATGGTTGATCACTTCAGATGCTGTTTGTGTGAACCAGTCTAATATACATGTACTGACTCTTATTTTAGCTCCGGTTTAGTCCAGACTGAGTCCTGAAGGAAATACTCTTGAACTGCTTAAAGCTCCAAAACTGTTTATCCGTTAGCTGCCAACTCTGCAGTTTTCTGGGTTAGCAAATCCTGTTTTTATGTTGTAATATTACATTTGGGAGGCTAAGTTTCTGTTTATCAAAAATCAAATATTTGATGACCCAGAATAGATTAATTAAATTATTTTATAACTGCTTTAAATCGACCTGAACATGAATTATTTATTAAAAATCTGGCCATTAGGAAAGATCTGATTAATGCAGGTTTAGTCATTCATGAAATCCACGGGCAGAGCTTTGCAGTTTTGGTATTTTCTCTATAAATATTTGATCTTTCATTCCTATAATTGTAATGATCTCTCTCAATAAGGGAAATATGCTTATGTGCTGTAGTACCCAGAATCATTAAAATATGAAAAATCCATCTCTGTGCTCCATGCAGAGACGGCCTTACAACAGCCAAAAATAAGAAAAACAACATTAACATAGTCGAAGCCATATTTGAAATGTATAAAACATTTACAAGTTAAAATAAACTACATCATATTTGTGATGGGGACTGTACGAGCTGTAAAAACAAACAAAAGAATCATATATAATACAGTTAAGACGAGTCTCTGAATGTTGAACTTAGCTACATTTAGAGAAATTTCAAAGAAAAGCTGCAAAAACTGCATGTGTAGCCTCGCTAGTGATCAAAGACGATCCTGTGATATTGAACTATAAAACTGCCAGTGTCAAGGCAGCCCAGCATGTCTCTGTCTTTGATTGTGAAGACACGGGCCATGAATATATTCCTCCACTGAGAAAAGAGGAGGGGGAAAAAAAAGAAACAAAAGAACCCAACAGTAGTTTTTCTTACATCACTGTAACCTGATTTGACACAGCAGAAAACATCAAACAGAAGACAAGAAGAGAGCTAATTGCGAGAAGCACATACAAGAAAAATCTCAGATTTGGCCTGTGAGTCGGAGTGACTGTTATATTTAAGTTATCACGTAGAAAAAGAAAGCTCTTTGCAGCCTTTTCACAATGGATTGCAGAGATTTCGTACCATATCCATTCCTCATATACAGCATTAAATTGTATAATCTGCAACCCCGAACAATAAGACTATTTTTAACTACAATAAAGAGAGAAGGGAGATAAAAAGGAAGCAGCAAGGGAGACGGTGATTGTCTGGTGCGACCAAGAAACCCTTGATGTGTTTTTTTTTTTTTTAATACAGAGTGTATCGTTTTATAGTTTTCTATTGGTTGCAATCAGCTGTTTACTGTACACACAAAGGTACAGCCTTGTCGGATGACAGGACAACTGAAAGACACATGAGTGCAAAAGACACGGTGATCGTAATTTGCTACATTGACCTAGGCCCATATTTATCAAAAACACTTTCAGTTCCTCAATCGTTTAAGTTTTTTCGCTAAGAAGTTGAAAAAGTTTGTACGGGACCCTCTTTGTCTTGTAAACATCTCCTTCTTCAAACCTCCAAAACAGGAGACCGTTGTCCATCTGGCTGCTGAATAATTATTTTCTACTGTATTTGTTATCTAAAAGAGAGACTATTTTCCACCACAGGACGCAGAGAAGCCAACATTTACACACACACAACCTGAGAGTTAATCTGCACTCTTGTTTCCTATCTGCTGTCTGAGGGTTGACAGAAAAATGAAATAAATAACAGACTTCATAAATGTCCCTGAAGAATACAGTAACAGATATACCATTGTTCGTCTGAGTGAGAGCTGTTTGCACTCACATTTAGCCTTAACAGCCTATTTCAACTCTTACGAAAAGGGTTCGAGTCCTTGGACATGACAGGCTGAAATGACAGCAAACAAGAGAGAATATGAAGGAACTGCAGCGTCAAGGCCAGGAAAGATGTCCTCAAGAACTGGAAACCTGGTTGTGGATAGATGCTCATAAACATGCCAGATTTTGGACTGATCTAATATGATTTAAGAAAGACATGGATGGTTGTTGCCTCTTTTTCAGGGTGGGAAATGAATATGAAAACCTCCTTTTGTCTCTTTGTAACATCAGAGTCCAGGACATCATCTCTATTCCAAGAAGTGAGGCTCTTAGCTGTCATAAATCTGGTCGTAAAATACTGTCATAACAGATAAAACTCCAACAGGCCAGACTATTAAAAGCATAAATGTTAAGTTCATCATAAAAAATAATCTACTTTACTCCCTCCTCTGCAGTTTTTCGTGACAATGACAATAATGTATAAGGTAAGAAAACAGAAAACTTTTATTATGGCGAAAATCCTTCTTCATAAATACTCTGATGAAGAATGATGAGATGAAACTCTCAGCTCAGATATATTAAGCGGACAAGCAGTTACATCACTCTTTGTTTACCTTTTTATACCAATCATTAATCTGCTACAAATTCTCACCGCCTCCAACTCACCTTTCTCGTTGTCATTGGATAATTTCCCACCTGAAGCATGTCAGTAAGAACTCTGTTTACAGTCAAAACTATCTATCAGCGAACCTATCAAAAGCCGAACTCATTCTGTCAAATTAGTGGCTTATTACAACCTGCAGTCAGAAGAAATGAGGCGAGCTGTGGGCACACTTTTAACAGACCAGACTGAGAGTAAAACACCTGCAGTGTCAGCTCAAGATTTAGAGGTTAATCGTCTGACAGGAATACACAATAACTCTCCAAATTCAATGTCCCCTAAATTTCTTTGAGGAATCAGGTTTCTATTGATTTGTGCTGTGGTAGCAGTCTTTGACAAGGTAGCAAAACTCAACATAACACCAGTTCTGATTAACTGATCATTAACTTCAATAGAGCAAAGCTACATTACAGTACATGTCAAGCTCCTTCCTCTAAAACCTGATTCATGACTTCTTCAGACTTGTGTTCAAACCCTGAGTCATTCAGCAAATAATAACAGAGTTCAGTTCAGTTGAAAGTGACTTATTGCACTTTTCAAAACAAGTTTCAGGTATTCTTTATATAAGTTAGAAGTATAAGTTAGAAACACATGTTCAGCCATGATGAGCAAACACAGTGAGATATTCGTTCTTCACACTGAAACTTTTACTTTTAGGAGAAACATTTTTCGTCAAAAACTGTCAGAGAAAAGTTTTACTTAAACATTGATCAAAATTAGATGACATCGGAGATCCTCTGACTGAATCTGGAAGAAAACAACACAAGATAAAAACTGAAACACAACAGAAATCTACTATTTTCTGAAAACGACTAGAACTAGATTTAAAATTTATGCCGCCTCCTTTGTTTCTGTACCATCTCCACAAACACTATAGGACCACTAGAGATCTCCTAAGTTGTTTATAAGTAATCAAAGACTCTTCTGACATCTCCTTGATCTAAAAGCCATTTAAGTCTGAGAACACTGACTGAAAGCTTTCATCTGAAGTTTGTGTGAAGTTCATGTTTTCTTGTTTGTTTGATAAATATGGGCCCAGAGGTTGGTATCAAATTGATATTAAAATTCACAGCAGTTTGAATGTTACAACCATGATGCCTTCAGATGATGAATAAAATCTGAGTGAGGATGATTGACTCGAGCAACATAACAATAGGATGTTTTTCATCGTTTTCTCTGTTTGGGAACTCCCATTCAACTTTGTGGTGGAACAGTTAAAGCA